ACCTACCCCAAACAAACCAAATCCAGCACCTCTGCTGCCGACACCAGTAAACCTAACAAACCTTAATTCCTTCCTCTCTGGTTATGACACTCAAGCCCACACAAAATTAGTACAAGGTTTTTCAAGGGGGTTTCATTTAGGTTGTCAAGGTTTTCCCTTCTAGTAATATCTCTAAAAATCACATGAGCTGTTCCCAGCACCCAGAAATCATAGAGTCATTTAGACAGTGTTTACCTAGCCAATTAATGTTTATAAGATATGGTATCAACACCCATTGTTTCAATCGCCTTTGGGCAGAAAAATCGATACATGTTATTTGGGTATTTGTATCAGTGTTACACTTCATTGAACATGCTGGTAAACAATGACCCAAATTTCAATTTCTTAAATGCGAAAAAAATGATAAATAAAATGTGTTTACTTAAAATTGAGTTTTATAGAACTAGATTTTAACAATAATTAAATTGACATGTCAGTAAAAATAATAACTGAAAAATAATTTTGGCAAAATTAACAAAGAATATGTTTACAAGCCCCAATGCTTAAGAAAATTCTAACTTTATAGTATCCCGATAGTTAAATTGGCCATATAATGATGAGATCTACTAAGATCCAAAGCTTCTTCTGATGGAAAATATTTAATTCACGTTTAATTTTCTGTATAAAAAATAAATATGGGAACCAGTATCAATAACAAGGGATTTATTAATATACCCAAGAATTGTGATTAAATATTCATGTTCAGTGTAATTCATATATGTACATGCCTTAAGCTTCTTCCTCCAATAAATATGATTATTAATAATTTCATTTTTCATGCGCGTACATGTTTTGTTCATAAATGACCTTCATGTACATATCAGGATTCCTGGCATACTACCCAGAATCAATTTCTACTGCCTTTTATAGTTGCATTGTTTAATGGAAATATCATTTCTGAGTTAGCTCCGCCCTTTGAATTAATAAACCCCGCCCACTGAGACTGCTGGGACTGCTTTCTGGATCGCTTGGACTGCTGGGACCGCTCTGGGACTGATCTGGGACCGCTGTGGGACTGATCTGGGACCGCTGTTGGACTGCTTAAGCAGTCCCAGAAAGCAGTCCCCGGGACTGCTCTGGGACTGCTTTGTTTTCAGGTTGGGTCTGGTCGGTACTGTAACTGAGAAGATTGCAATTTGAAGACCTAAAAAAAAGTGTATCATGTGACTTCACTGTGAACCTGACCCATAACAAAGCGACTCTCCACGCGTGAATATCATTTTTTTTTCTTGAGTGAACAGAGCAAAAAAGCACCTCTGTATCCGTGTTAGGTTTTCTATTTTTTTTAACACTTCGTCTCTAGGACGAAGTCCAGAAAAATAATAATGTGACCTTACTCTCTTACCAAGAACACAGTTGTGGCTGTTAAATTGGATGGTTTATGTTCTAATTATAGCAACATGCTGTTAACATGAGTTTTTTTTAAATTGATATTTCAGATCTGGACGACAGGGAAGATGTCCTGACACATAATGTATAGCAATGAAGAAATTTTTGACAATAAACCTGCTAAAAAAATGCAGACTAGGTCTGATAAATGTAAATCACGTGGCAAAAGTAAAATTCAAATGTCCGCCATAGAGACCGGTGTAAACATGAATGTCACTGTTAAATTGTCCAAACAAAGACCTGACCTTAAAAAGTCGACAGGAAATGAAAATTGTCCAGTTTAGGTATAAACGAATTTAGATTTGCACAAGGGATTGACTCTCTATTACAGTGAATATCTACTCTTTCTGAGACTGTTAAGAAAATTTCAAATGTAGGTAAACATTGAAAATGTACGGTGCCCAATATTGACTACTGGTTGACACAGTGCAATATTGACTAATGGTTTACACAGTGCAACGGTTTCTAGGCCAATAATAAGTTAAGACAATGCAGACACTTTAAATTTCCATTTTAATTTACGCTATTTGGATACTACCTCAAGACTACGTCATTGCTTGGTGTAGGTACTCAAATTGTCTTTCAAAATGTATTTGAATGAGTTGATACTGAGAAGTTTTTAGATGATGAATTTTCGTGGAATATTCCACAGCTTAATCCAGATAACATATTGTCTGGTCTGTCCAAAGAAGTTAATGCTACACTCTCTCTGCAAAATCTTCAAACAAACATGAATGACATTAGTTAAGATATAACAGACCAGAAAAATGTACTTTGATGAGAGTTTCACGAGTACAAAAGGAAATATGGGATGTTCTTAGAAAACAAGCCCGTTCTTCTAATTTGTTCTATTCAACAGATACAGAAGTCAAATGCTTTAATACCTTTTGTAAAGGTTTATCAGAACAAATGGAAAATAACAAGGAGATCGACAATAAAAAAAAACATGTTATCTGATTAAAATAAGTCTTGGTTATGGGTTTTACAATAAGTCCATTAAAACAAGAGGCCCAGGGGCCACAGCGCTTACCTGAGCACATTGGCTAGGAAAAAGCACATATCAGATCAAAACTGAAAGTTTACTGCAGGGGGCTTGAATTTTAACCCCCCACGGGTTCATGATTTGAACTAGAATCTACAATACCTGAAGATGGTTCCATATTAATATCACTAATCATAGCTTTGAAGTACTTGAAAAGCAGATTTTTAAAGGTTTACCTCAAAATCCCTATGTAAAACTTGGGTCAGCCTTTTTGGCTCACCCTAGCCCCGGGGTCGTGATTTGAACAAACTTGAATGTACACCATCCGAAGATGTTTCCACATGAGTTTCATCTCTACTGGCGCAGAGGTTCTTGAGAAGAAGATTTTTAAAGATTTTTCCTATCTATTCCTATGTAAACTTTTGGTCAGCCTTTTTAGCTCCACCCTAGCCCTGGGGGTCATGATTTGAACAAACTTGAATGTACAACATCTGAAGATGATTTCACATGAGTTTCATTTCTCATAGCCCAGTGGTTCTTGAGAAAAAGATTTTAAAAGATTTTTCCAATATATTCCTATGTAAAACTTAGGTCGGCCATTTTGGCCCTACCCTAGCCCCGGGGGTCTTGATTTGAACAAACTTGAATATACAATACCTGAGGATGATTCCACATGAGTTTCATCTTTCCTGGCCCAGTGGTTCTTGAGAGGAAGATTTTCAAAGATTTTTCCTATATATTTTTATGTAAAACTTGGGTCGGCCATTTTGGCCCCACCTTAGCCCCGGGTTCATGATTTGAACAAACTTGAATTTACAATACCTGAGGATGATTCCACATGAGTTTCATCTTTATTGGCCCAATGGTTTTGAGAAGAAGATTTTCAAAGATTTTTTTTTCTATATATTCCCATGTAAAACTTGGGTCGGTCCGCAGTACAGTTAAGGCAACATTTTCTATAAAAATCAATGAAAACGATACAATTAATATTTAACTATTTTATTTTTCAGCAATACACTCTAGTTAAAAAAGCTTTATGTTATCTTGAAGAATATGTCCATCGCTATTCACCTAGGATTTTTTGTGATCATGTGACCCTCTAAAGTCACGTGGGCTCCGATTTTAGGTCAACAAATGAAATGTTAAATTTAACCAAAAAGTTCAAGGGCAAGGCAAACAATCAAATAACTGCACAGTGTTTTAAATTGTTCTTATGTATCTATGCTTTCGCAAAAGTGATGCTCCTTCAGTTGGTTTTCCGATACATTTGAGTTATTCACCTGAAACAGTCAGTATTATATGAAAAATGGGGTATTTTCCTAATATCATCGGAAATTATAAATTACCTTAAGGATTACAAAGAAATGAGCATCACTTTTTAAAAAATATACAGTAAAATGAATAATTTTAAATAAAAACTTACTTATTAGATTGTCGCCTTGCCCTTGAACTTTTTGATTAAAAATTTACATCTTGGTACAGTCAGTCTAAATATAGTTTTCAAACGCATCGTTGACCCAGCATGGGAGATAACTCTTCCGTATACTTGATAAAGTTTGTTTACCTCGTAGATTTTAAATAAACAGGCCTATACTTGCATAATGCGCCGGGATCTTTTTACTTAATCGAACAGTATGCATAAAACACTGGATATTACTTTCTATTTTGTGACTTCGTTCTCTATACAATGTGTGAATTATGTATGATATAAGACGTCTTTCAGACCTTCCGCATTTCCTCGAATCAGTGTAAACATGCAGCCAAATGTAGGTGTAAAGTTTGCTGCAGCATGTAATCTAAAACGCCGATTGTTAATAAAAATGGGAATATTCAATTAATAGTTAATTGATAGCCTCCATCAATAATTAATTCGATAATTATACCCCTCTGTCACTAATGTACATACACTTGTGTACAAATATTTTTTTTCGCATACAAGATTATATCATGGCTTTCTTTAAAACCTTCAACTCTTATGGGATTTAAGTCATACGTTTTAAGAACTAAGACTAAGTGGAAAACATACAAATTCCTGTATTTGTTAAAGGGACTACCATTTTATTCCAAAAGAGGGGGGGGTGAAATGTTGAAAATAAATATGTCCCAAATAGGATAAAAGAATTAATCTGCACCAGACCAGTGTTCCCCCTCCTATAATTTTGTTTAGCTTGTCAGACATTTTTCAGTAGGGAGGAAAATAAATAATCTGTCCTTCATTATATTGGAAGTAAATATTAGTAATAAATATTAGTAGACCTGTCCTTCATTGACATGAAAAGAAATAAAAAACATAATGACTTGGGAAAACTTGCCACACCCCCCCCCCCCACTTCCCTTTAGAATAAAATGGTGGTCCCTTTTCTTGTTTTGAATCAATTAGGGGGGCCTTTAATCTCCTTTAGTCTTTTAGTTACTATTATTAAGAAAAACAAATTAACACAATGTACATGCTGGAAAAAAATCTTGATGGACATTGACAGCCTGGCGCTACACAAATATATGCAAGTCAAGATTATCAAATATTAATAGCCTTTTCAACACCTGTACAGTAAGCACATGAATATGAAAAAGTCAAATATTTTTTTATGAAGAAATTTTATTTCATAAACAGCTTTTCAAATTAAAATAGACTGTACAAGGAATACTGGGGGGAGGGGGGGGGTCTGCAATTTTTTTTCCATCACTTCATGTTCTTGTGGATGAAATCAATTCTGAAAATACATGCATGAGAAAATCAGGACAATCATGTAGTAACATACCATTACTAAGAGTAAATTGGTGATAAAAATTCAATTAAATTTAGATCAATGCATGGAAACATGCATTGGATGCATAATTAAATATTTGCAGTTTTACTGTTATATATTGTTTGCCAGGAATTTTGCATGGAAATTTGGTTTATAGCTAATATGGAGCATACCATTTTCCTTACATCATGGATTAACTTGCTACCTGATCATGAATGATTCCATTGGTCTAATTCTTTAGGAATATCTGCAACACATTATATATGCTATTACTATGAGATTAATAAATAAAATACATTGTAAAGTAAAAATAACTTTACATTTGACAAAACAATTCATGATATATTGTTAACTGTAGTGAATTGAAATTCATATAAAAGTTAAATGGAAACAAAGCTGTATTTATTTACAAAACTCCTCTTGGAAATTAAAACCTCTGACATTAACAAGAACAAATGATTAGGATATTAAAAATATACATTCTTCCATCTTTACCAAAATGAAAAATAAATATAGGCCTAATCATGCACACAAGCATGGTTAAAAAAAGTGAAATGCTTATACATGTAAGTGTACATACCCTGTGGAGAAATGGATGCATTTTGTATTTATTTATACTTCAAGCCTGGACCCCTTGACTGCTACAATAATAAAAGTATAATATGTCATATGATTTTAAAAGATTATGTATAAATTATAGAAATTAATTGACTTAAAAATTGAAATCATACTAAAAAAATAAATATTATATTCACCATTAATTTAGAAATTCTAAAAATTTAAAGCCATAGATCTAAAGTGGAGGTTCTTTGTTTTCATCATAAAGATACAAATAATATTTGCTACATTTAGCATGTTTATATGCCAAAAAGACAACAACATTACATGTTCAGTAATTCATTGTCAACACATTGACTGCAGCAATGAAATTTCAAATTCAATTAAGTCTAAGTTTGTATTACTAATCAACACCCTTATTACACATGTCGTCTCAAAGAAAATAAGCTATTCGACTCTATATTTAGTACAATTTCATTTTTAAATTTTTAGTAAACAAAGTGATTAACTTTATGTGGGCTATTTGGAGGGGGGGGGGGGTGACACACACTGCACTGCATTAGTTTTTCACTGACCGTGAAAATACATCTAAATATACACGTACACACTCGCGATCGTTTTTTCTTCGATGTTACCAGAAGCATATCTACATAATGTTCAAACATGTGCATACATACCTGGGCTGAATGCATTGCATTGATGGATCTAGGGAGCTGGTGCAGATCGTCTCACTCTTCCATTATTTTCGGTAATAATGTCCTCACATTCTCGTAATAGGGATAAACAATGCCTTGTCACTTATCTTATCCCTAATTCTTTAAAGAATGTCTGATTATTGCATATAAATCCACTGCATATCTCAGCTGATGTCGCCACGTTTTAGATGTAAACAACATTCCGTGTGATCGAGTGCAAGCGCTTGGCTGAAGCCGAATGCAGCCAAACGGCACATAAGAAATCGGATTATTTTAAAAACATGCCATTCTATATAGGAGAAAATCACTAATAATTATTTATTTAGACATGGAAATATTGCCGTTTGTTACAAATTCTTGCAAATATCGGTAAATAGTTATTTCGAGCTCTATTTCCTTATAAGGATCAATCAGGGCGGAGCAACTGTCATGACGTCAAACCTCATTATGACCTCATTACCATATTTTTTCCATGGGTTGCCTTAACCGTACTGCGTCATTTTGGCCCCACCCTAGCCTGGGGGGTCATACTTTGAACAATCTAGAATTTACACTACCTGAGGATAATTCCACATGAGTTTCATCTTTCCTGGCCCAGTGGTTCTTGAGAAGAAGATTTTTCCAAATTATTCCTATGTAAAACTTGGGTCGGCCATTTTGGCCCTACCCTAGGCCCGGGGGTCATGATTTGAACAAACTTGAATATACAATACCTGAGGATGATTCCACATGAGTTTCATCTTTCCTGGCCCAGTGGTTCTTGAGAGGAAGATTTTCAAAGATTTTTCCTATATATTCTTATGTGAAACTTGGGTCGGCCATTTTGGCCCCACCCTAGCCCCGGGGTCATGATTTGAACAAACTTGAATCTACAATACCTGAGGATGATTCCACATGAGTTTCATCTTTCTTGGCCCAATGGTTTTGAGAAGAAGATTTTCAAAGATTTTTTTCTATATATTCCCATGTAAAACTTGGGTCGGTCATTTTGGCCCTACCCTAGCCTTGGGGGTCATAATTTGAACAATCTTGAATTTACACTACCTGAGGATAATTCCACATGAGTTTCATCTTTCCTGGCCCAGTGGTTCTTGAGAAGAAGATTTTTCCAAATTATTCCTATGTAAAACTTGGGTCGGCCATTTTGGCCCTACCCTAGCCCCGGGGGTCATGATTTGAACAAACTTGAATATACAATACCTGAGGATGATTCCACATGAGTTTCATCTCTCCTGACCCAGTGGTTCTTGAGAGGAAGATTTTCAAAGATGTTTCCTATATAATATTCTTATGTAAAACTTAGGTCGGCCATTTTGGCCCCACCCTAGCCCCGGGGTCCTGATTTGAACTAACTTGAATCTACAGTACCTAAGGATAATTCCACATGAGTTTCAACTTTCTTGACCCAATGGTTTTAAGAAGAAGATTTTCAAAGATTTTTTTCTATATATTCCCATGTAAAACTTGGGTCGGCCATTTTTGCCCCACCCTAGCCCGGGGGGTCATAATTTGAACAATCTTGAATTTACACTACCTGATGATAATTCCACATGAGTTTCATCTTTCCTTGCCCAGTGGTTCTTGAGAAGAAGATTTTTTCTATATATTTCTATGTAAAACTTGGGTCGGCCATTTTGGCCCGACCCTTACCCTGGGGGTCATGATTTGAACAAACTTGAATCTACTCTACCTGAGGATGATTCCACATGGGTTTCATCTTTCCTGGCCCAGTGGTTCTTGAATAGAAGATTTTTTAAAAATGCCATTAATTTTTCTCTATTTCATTATTATTTCCCCTTGGAAAAGGGTGTGGCCCTTCATTTGAACAAATTTGAATTGCCTTTAATTACCCAAGGATACTTGTGGCAAGTTTGGTTGAAATTGGCTCAGTGGTTCTTGAGAAGAAGTCGAAAAAGTAAAAAGTTTACAACAACAACAACGACGACGACGACAACGACGACGACAACGACGACAACAACGACAACGACGACAGTCAACGGACAAATTGTGATCAGAAAAGCTCACTTGAGCCTTTGACTCAGGTGAGCTAAAAAGGCATGGAATTAGAAATAACTGGAATCCTAGGTACTTATACAGGAAAATATGTAGTTCTGATGTCCTTATATCTGACCATCTGTTGAAAATTGTATTTCAAAAGCCAAAGACATGGGTAACATGAATAAGTATTCCCTTTTCTCAAACAGGGGTAAAGGTGGAAACAATTCTGCATGTAGGAGCAACTCCCGCAATTGCTTTAAACTAAAGGTCTAGCAGCTCAACAAAACATAATTATCACATATAAATGACTGTACAAAACACTTCATGGGCCGGCACCTACTTATTTAAGAGACTCTTTTGAATTTATTTCTTCTAGTAATTATGCTCCACGATCTGACCAATGCAGACCTCGAGGAGGCGACAGCCACAAGAGACGAGGATGACAGAGTTACTCCCAACAACAAAGCTATTACATGTACAAGAGAAACAGTCAGAAGAAATATTTC